AATTGCCTTTTTCGCGCATTTTCTTTTCCCATCTCCATCTCTAGAAGCATTTTTCGTATGCTCCCCAATTGAACTTCTTTCGAACACATGGTTGTTGCCGAGGAACAATAATTAAATTTGGGTTTTCTTGAAGCCTTAAACAAAAACCGACATTTTTGTAGAATTTTGAAGAATCCGACTCATCTTTTGTTTGCCTTGATTTTCGCTGAATAATTATGTTGTAAACGCTACTCAAAATTTTTCTTGCTTCAAAAACAAAATATAACAAATCAGTTGGAAATATGAAATACAGGAAAAATTGGGGCATATGATTTTTCCCAATTTTTTTCCAAACAAAATCAGTACCACAAACAATCATCAATAAGGATCGAGTGATTTGTCACATAAAAGCCCTATCTGTTCCACTTTCCAAGAATGAGCGGAATTTTTCTGCTTGGGTGATTTTTTATTCGGTCAAACTTCGACCACTGAACTAAGTATTTTTGACGGAAACTTTTATGCCATCTGAGAGATATTGTTGTACTGAGCTGATTTGAAAAAATAGGGTATCTGTGATCCTTTTTTGTACTGTTACAGGCTTTTGAAAATTGCTATATTGGTGAATTTGGGATAAACAATGCGCAATTTAATGCGTTCTTATAACAAGCGTTAGCAGTGAATTAATACGTTCCAAATTCAACCTAAGTCTGAATACGAGCTCAATATTTAGTGCTTTTGAAACATTAACAGACGCTAAACATAACCCTTGTATTTTTATATGCATGTGGGGGGATGTAATAAAGGAAAATCAGAAACAAAAAAATCTTTTTTTTTTCTCGCACTTTGTGTCAATTAATCGCCGAAAAAAAAAATGATTTTTCTGGTGCTTGTGAAACTTTCAATTTTTCATTGAATGTTATAAAGTTTTCATTGACTCATAAAAAACTAAAAAATGATAGAAAAAAGGGATTAATAAGTAAATCAGTTACAACAATTATTCTAGTGTAGAAACGGTTTAGTAAAAATTCAAAAAAAACATCGTTGTGCAATAGAAACAAAAACAAAAAAATGTTTGAAAGTATTCAGGATTAACGAGATAAACATTTTCAATTGAATGGAGCATCTTGCGAGTATCCCGTTGCGAATGTTCTAAAAGGATTTTGAAACTATTTTGAGAAAAATAATTTGAAAAATTGAGAAAAAATCAATTATAACCATTTGTTATTCAATCAAAATCTCTTTTTTGGAAAAAAAATAGAATCAATTATAATTATAAATCAATTATATTCTATTAATTTTCAATCTGTTTCTTATTCAATCATCACTTTTATCTCAATTTCAATCATGTTTTTTATTTAAAAAAATCAATTTCAAAAGTTTATAATCGACTATAATTCTTTTTGCTTGCCATTTCAATTTTCAACCTTACATCTGTCTTGCTTACCTTGTATGATTTTCATAGATGCTGAATTATTTGGAAAATTAAAAAATTGTCATAGCAGTTTAAAAACCAGTTCAAATTTATGTTTTTCTTACTTTTTCATTTTTTCATTTGCAATAATGGTTGTTTCAATGAACGCAATTATAGGTTTTGTATTAAGGAAAATATCAGCACATTGTTTTTTTCATGATTGCTTAAAATTTTTATCCACTGTTAGAACTTTTTAACTAAATTTATTCTAATCGATATAAATATTTTTCTGCATGCACTAAACTCAACTAAAACGGACTAGAAGAGATTCTATTATCTTGGAAAATATCCTGACTTTAATTTCCCGGGTTGACGTCCATAGAAAAAAAGCTTATTCAACAGTTTCATATATGAAATTTATGGGAAAAAAGCCTGTCATACAAAACTCATACAAAATTTAAAATTTGTTTTAGAGACTGTATATTGCTTTTTTTGAACTTATGTGTACCGCAGACGAAGTTTAATTAAAAAAAGGACAAAAAACAGGCCAAAACTGCAAGAGAAACCTGAAAACATGCCGTGGTCGGCGCCTTGTTTTCCAATACAATACAGAGTTGTTTCTGTAGTTTATATTAAGTATAACTCTGTAGCTAGTACTCGTTTGAAAACAAATTGTGGTTCTATCATTATAATCATGATTATTATGACTAGTATTCCGATTACTTTTATGTTTATTATTTTGATATTGTTATTCTGATTAATATTATTGAGATTTTATCATCAGTATTATTTTATTTATCATGTTTTATGATTAATATTATGATTAATATGATAATTATAATTTTTATTGATGATTTTATTGATATTATTTTTATGAATAATTTTATTTTTTTTTGTCTCAGCGAAATTTTTGAATCATTTTGATTCAAAAAATTGCCTTTTTCGCGCATTTTCTTTTCCCATCTCCAACGTAGTCCAAGATGAGTTTTTCAACTAAAAAACCGAATACTGTTTTTTTGTGAACACGATTATTATGTTTTTGTTTCATTTGCTAATTTAAAATCAAATTTGTAAGAAAAACAGGCCTTTTTTCTCATCCACCAAAAAAATTTTCAAACTAACAATTATTTAGCCACATACAAAAAGTTACATTTTTGGTATTTAATTCCTTGTGAAACTGTTAAAATTAACTTACAAGGCTAAAATTACCAAATGCAGTTTATCTGCGTAGTGACTGCCAGTTACACTCTGGATTTTCTCATGACAAAAATACTTGATTAGTGTTTCGGACGAAACACAAAATATCAAAACAAATATTTTAAATCATTTGTGGATGAAATGCTTGTCATACAATTTCATAGAACGGAAAAATGCTTATCATGCTTTTTTAAATTTTGGGGATAAAAAGGTTGATTAAAAAGCACAAACTTTAATTCCAGAGTATGGAAAAACACTACGAGGCCATACTGTGCACTGGATAGGCGCACAATAAGCATTTCGTCGATTGCATAAGCCTTCGGGTTTTTTTTTTAGTGGATGCGGGTTTTTATTTTATGTCAATAAGGATGCTGCATACTGCGAAAGTACTAAGAAGCTAAAGGTACTAAGAATGCAATAGCTAGACAACATCTTGCAGGAATAAACTATTTCTACATTATCTTATTATCCAAAAACTCCTCGCATTTTGCTTTCATACACCATGTTAGTTATCAATTTCTGGATCTTTCATTCATCTTTCTGCAATATTTATGAATATGCATTCGAAAGATTTGCTTCAAAGCTACGAGTTTTTGGCTATAAAAAGAACGTTTGTTGGGGAATTCCAATATCATTTTTGTATATAAAAGGAAATATACCAAAAAGACGAAAACAAGTGTACTACTACAATGACTAATTGTTGTGCGAATGGAGATTTTAAAATTGCGAAGCAAGCGTGGCAAGCAATTTGGCTTCACAAGCGTGGATTTTGTTTTGTGATGCTCAACATACAGAAAGTGAACAAAAAACACTCTGATGTAACCAAAGCGCACTGGCTAAGTGGCTAGAGCTCTGCCCAAAACAGCATTTGTAGAATTGCTATGGAAATTAAGGCCTGAAGTTTGAACAGATTTACAATAGAAAACATAAGTTTTTCTGTGGGTCTAGATAGATTCGATGATGCATCTTAACTTTTGGTTTTTCCGTTGAATTCTGAGCTCGGAAAGTGTTAAACTTTTTTGAAATTTGCAAACATTTACGAACTTGTTTTAAAACAAAACAAGACTGCTCGTATATCACGGCAAACTCCTGAATGTTTCCGAATACACTTAAATCAAAAACTCTATGGTTGAAAAAAAGACGAATTTTTTTTAAAAAAAAATCATGTTTTTTTTTCTTTTTCTCCGCTAAAGTAAACTAAAAAGGAATGTGTTTAGCAGGTCTAATCCAATTTTTAAGAGCGAATGACTTGCCTCAATTCAGCTCAAAAATTCGCTGCTTACGCGGGTCACAAGATTGCAATACATCGCGCCTTAAATTTCTCCAGTTGGTCGAATCAATAATTTCAAACCCCATTAGCTCTACAAAAAATGATTGCAAGTGCAATTTCTTTAAATTTGAGCTCCAGACAATAAAATTTTTTACAAGATTTCTTCAAAAAAGCTCAGTTAAGAATTCGAAAATCGACAGAATAAATAACCGATCGTAACCGATCCAAGCATAATTTTTCCGCACTTTGTTCGAAGGTCAGAACAACAACGCAATTTGGGGTGTTCTCAATCAGAAAAGCCCTCAAGTCAAGTGGCAAATTTTCTGCAAATAAAACGCTTTTGTAGGTTTATTGAAAAAGTTAAAGCTTGAGTTTTACACAGCTTTATGATAAAAACATAAGCTTTTCTATGGGGCTAAAAATTATACATCAAAAAATTGAAAACTGTGGAATTATTTTCTGTCATGTTTTGGTTTAACTTGCTCTTTGAAAGCAAAAAAAACAATAATAAAATTTGGTTCTTTTAGTCAAAAGTTCGTTCTGGAATTTTTGCTTTTTTGCTTTCTAACAATCCTTGCTCAAGCACAAAAATAAATTGTAGCTTTACTAAAAAATAACAAAAGGCTTAGGTAATTAAAACTGCTGATTTCCTGGGTTTCTTAGAAGGGTACTGGCTGGTGTCCAGACTTGGTTTTCACGTTTTTTTTATCTGAGTCTTCGTGGCAGGGTTCCTGAATGGCTCCTGCCAGGAAGTCCAGGATTGACTTGGACTCTTAAGTTTCTAGCAGAAAGTGTCAAGTTTTTCCTTGGCTGTGTAGCCCTGCAATCCTCTAACATATGTAAAAGATATGAGTGTAGATTCCAGAATCGTGATAACAAAAACTTCGGCAAAACTATAAAACCAAAAGCATGGAACCTTAAGGAGCACATTTGGTATTTTCATGTCCAGTCATCTTGAAAAAATTTTCAAGACAGCTGAGATGTTTTTCAAGATTTAGCAAGATTTTTCAATATTATTTTTTGAAGATATCAGAAATTGATGGATTTGGGAGATATAAAATCAGATCTCAGTCAACTATTCAAAAAGCTGCAGTACATTCAAAATTTTTGTTGATACGATATATATTTTTGCTTATCTGACTAATTTATACGATATCTGATTATTCATTATAAAGTCCCTTGCAATGAATGTATACTCTTTAGAGTTTTGTTTTGATTGTTTTTGTTTCATGAAGTTTCAAGCGGCTGGTGCATAGAAAACACGACATTTCCCCAAGTGAATGCCCAACAAGTTGCAACTGTGAAGCAAAGAATATTCAACAAGAATCCACACTTGACCATGTCACGCACACGCAGGGTACCTGAAACGAAGGTCAAATCTCTCAGAGCTAGCTATCTATACAAAGCTTTAGACTGACCATTGCTTATTAATTATTAACCAATGGTCAGTCTAAAGCTTTTATAAAAACCGCTTATGGCAAAAAAAAATTCAGTAGAGTGGGAACTCTTTTTCTCGATTTTTTATAGGTTTTCGCAGATGTCCTAAAACACTATAAAGACCGTATATTGCTTTTTTTGAACTTATGTGTACCGCAGACGAAGTTTAATTTAAAAAAGGACAAAAAACAGGCCAAAATTGCAAGAGAAACCTGAAAACATGCCGTGCTCGGCGCCTTGTTTTCCAATACAATGCAGAGTTGTTTCTGTAGTTTAGATTAAGTATAACTCTGTAGCTAGTACTCGTTTGAAAACAAATTGTGGTTCTATCATTATAATCATGATTATTATGACTAGTATTCTGATTACTTTTATGTTTATTATTTTGATATTGTTTTTCTGATAAATATTATTGAGATTTTATCATCAGTATTTTTTTATTTATCATGTTTTATGATTAATATTATGATTAATATGATAATTATAATTTTTATTGATGATTTTATTGATATTATTTTTATGAATAATTTTTTTTTGTCTCAGCGAAATTTTTGAAACATTTTGATTCAAAAAATTGCCTTTTTCGCGCAGGTTCCTTTCCCATCTCCATCTCTAGAAGCATGTCCTTGTACTTCTTTTTAGAGTATAAATGATAATAAAAGTACGAGAACCAGCTTGAATTCAGCTTCTAAAAACTTGCTACTTGCAACACGTACGGTTTATAATAACGTTGCCCTTGACAGTCGCAGTGTTAATAACAATTTCAATCAATTTTACTACAATAACGTAATATAAAATATCAAGTCTCAATTAACCTGCAGGTTAAATTAGGTTCAATCATTTTCCTTCTGAAACCTAGTAGTACTGAAATCATTAATCCGTATTTAGTAAATTTAGTAGATTTTTCTCGCCTCACGATCGCTTCATGAGTCCTTTGTAACTCCGCATTTACATAATCTACCATCATTTTAGTGTCTGGTTTTTTCGGCTTTTCAGCATATAGTGTAAAGACGGCAGTCGAAAATACCCATTGTAATTTACTGAACATCCGTAAACGACGGCACTCCTTTTGTGCGCTTCATGATCTTACGCAGTTTGTTCAACATATCAGCAAAATACCCCGACACGTCCTCATCCAGTCTCTGAATATCATCCTGTTTTGTAGTCATCCCTCCAGTTAAACAGAAGTTTCTCCTTGTCAAAATAAGAATTATCCACACTCCCTTTTTTCGGGCTCGGTACATTTTTCGGGCTAATGATAACTTTTTTCTGAAAATTTTGTTCCTCAACATTTGCTTCCCCTCGTAGTCTGCTTTTTGTCTTTGACGACAACCCTACGCGCGCTCTGACCGGCACTTTGTTTTTATCTTCTTCTGGGCTTCGCTCAGTGCACGTTCACATGAGTCGCATCATCCCTTGACGATGTACTTGACTGTTCCTCTTTTACCCCCTTCGGTGTAGAAGGAATCACGCTTATCTTAGTTTCTGCCAACTATTCATTTTTATCCATTTCTTAGGCTTCCCTAGCGCATGGTTCTCTCTCACTAGTTTTGTCTTGCTCATCTTCTTCCACCTCGTCCGCTGACGAGAGCATACCTGGGCTATTTGAGGACCTGACAACGCTGTTTCCATGCGCACAACACTTTGGTCATCTGAGCAGGAGTAAGGTACTTTTTTTATCATTCATGCGGTTCACCACATGTTTTACAACCGTCTCGTAGTTTGAGCTTCTTTGCTTTCAAAATTTTCCTCCGTATCAGGTTCCGCCAAAACAGGTCGTGCTATAATCGGGCTTTCAACTGTCATAGAGTCGTCGGAGGAACTGTCGATCTAAATCGTTTTAGTAACAGTCCGTGGGTATTGCCCGCTGCAATGATCTTAGGCGGTTTATTCATTATTCATTAAACCGTGGCTTTCATCGCCGACGTTACGTCGTTCCGATTCTTTCGCATTTTTGACTGCCGTGACAACTGGGGTCATTGTTTTTGAACCTTAATTTATTGGTATATACAAACTGTGAATCACTTTGTGTAAAATTAAAGTGAGTGTGTGATTATTTCCCGAACAACTTTATAGGTGCGTTGTTTTCAGTGCTTCAATAATATACTTCAGTACTTCGTTTGCTATAGTCAAGACTGCTCTTAAGTCAAAGAATTCGGGCTCATCGAAAAGAATTGAAGGAACCATATTGTGACTGTATGCTTCTGACTTTAGTCTATCTTGTTTTTTCCAAAAATTGCTTAAAACTTCTCGTTGCGCCTTCAGCACAGACAAACGCTTTGTAAAAAGCCCTACAAATTTTTTCCCGACGTGCTCTGGGCGTTTTTGTCTGCCTCCGGCTCTGGTGCTGAGGAATGCTCAACTCTTTCATACGTCTCTATTGTCGACTCATCCACCAGTAACGCGCCGAGAAACACTTTTATTGTTTTACCTAATCAAAGAACTGGATTTTTCTTAATCCATTTTTCATACAACGCTTTTTGTCTGACCGTATGTCATGTTGTATATGGTTTTCTGCCAAAATGAGTCAAAAAGCGTGATCATTCGGTCGATTGATGAAATGTTTCCCGATCAAAAAGTATAATTTTGTTTGACACCTCTTTCAACGTAGGTTTTGCTTTCTGGAAAAAAACACGCCATTAATCTTTCCCATAATGTTCTCGTACAAGTTACAACCAGTCCGGTTGACTTTGGTTCCTCATTAGCGCAAACTAAAAATTTTGCAGCAAATGTCATAGGACATCTAACTCTAGTTCTTAATTAAATTCCTTCGTAGGTTTTAATTTCGTTACGTTGTTTTCCATTTTGACTAATTTTAAATGCGTAACCAATTTGCTGCACCCCTTAAAATTTACTGTAGTGAACCGATCTTAAAGTAGTTTCTAGCAAGTTTCTCTTTTGAAACATCCCAGAATTGTCTTTAAGCAACCTCATCATTATCGGTGCTCGTAACTGCATTGGCACTACCATCTTACCCTCCATAAAAATGATGCCATTGGATGTATGGAGTTATTAGGTGTAATTCCGGAAAAAGAATTCAAATCAATGATAACAACATAAAAAATTATTTTCAATGCTTCATTAATGCAGTTCAGTATTTCCTTTGCTATAGTCAAGCTTGTTCAAAAGTCAGCATCAAAAAACTCGGGCTCATCGAAAAATTGAAGGGGTCCCGGGTTATTGAAAGATTCATCAGTTCTTCAGTCTTCTCCAACGGATAATTCAATTCGCATTTTTTGCAATCTTCTGTACGTTGTTGTTTCTCAATGCAAATTTTGTTCAATGGTTACTTTTTGAAATGCGTTGATAGGTTTCTTCGCTTCGCATTCTTTCCAATTACGTAAAATGCATTCAGATTTTGTGTCGCTTAAGATGTCATATTGAGAATTCGTTAGCTCATCCTTTCAATAGCCGACGATGCTATTAAACAATTAGTTGCACTCACATGAGGAACCACGTATGCATTATACAAGTCTGAGTTTTTATGCTGCCGTTTCTATGGGTTTTATCAACTCTATAATTTTTCTCGGTATATGTTCAATCTCGCAGTTTCAAGCCAACCTGTCAACCCAACTGACTAATCTCGAGTGAGTCGTTTTTGGGTTTTTTTTTGTTCAAAGACACAAGTAAAGCATTATTATCAGTGATTATTTTGAATGGCGTCCCAAACTAACAATTTAGGTTCTAAGCCATTGCCCACGATAGTGCATCTAACTTCAAAGTTTTTCATGCTTTACTTTAGTATAGCCTCAGTCAAAAATTTTGGCAAATTTGAATGGGGTTTTAACCCGTTCATGTATAGTTATTCTGCCTGAGGAATTTTTTGACGTGTCGCACCTAATTCTTGTTTGCTTTTTTGCGCAAAAATGGTATTTTGCACAAATTTTTTCACGAGTTTTTTCATTAATTGGAACGCTAAAGTAAGTTTCTGTTTCCAATGAATACATGAACCTGTGGTAGACGACCCATGGGTTCGTGGTGGACCACGTGTTCGTGGTAGACGAACCCGTGGAATATATGGCGTAGTTGACAGGATAAAGCAAATCCTCTTTACGTTATGTCTTTCATTTAACAAAATATCGATTGTTTCTTCGACATTTGGCAACACATGGACGAGGACTCTCTTATGTCTCCCAAAATATGACTCTCAAAATATGTGTGTCTCTCAAAATATGTCTCTCAAATTATGTTCAGTATGTTTACGTTGTACTGGTGAAAATTGAACCCTGGTTTTAGATCTTCGTTTCCCAAGTTGTCCAAGTTTCTGAAGTTGTCTCGTTGTCCTCTTTCCGTGATGAAAAATTCCGCGCCCTTGGTTAACCAACCTTCCAACTCCCCATTCACAAACATGTAACCAGTTTTATTAATTTTATCATTTGTCGCGTTATAAAAATTGCTTTGAATTTCTACTGGTATATTTTCAAAAGCCAGTAAGTTTGGTTTGGCCGTAGTTCCTTCGGATCTTTTTGACTTTCATCACCAGCCCTGTCCCATACAATCCTAATAGAAAACACTACAAAGTCTTCTTCCTCGTTTTTCTCTTCAAAAATCCTGATAATTTTTGTTTTGTATTGTCAAACTTCATGCACTCAATCCCTCGGTCTCAACAATTATTAGAGACAAAAATTTTTGCTCAATAGTATTCTCTGTGGTTCGATTTTGATGGATTACCAAAAATGTGATATATTTTGTCAGTAATTTTTACTCATTTTTTAAACTTGTTTATTTTTCCCCATTTACTCCGTTTACCGGTTTTCGGTTTATGTTTTCCCCATTTTGCCTAGGTGCGTCTCACTGGTTTGAACAAATTTCTCCCAAACTTTGAAAGGCCTCCGCTGATTTTTTTTGTACATGATCTTTTGTACACATCAAAGAGCCCATTTTTCCTTTAAACGACAGATTCTTCCTTTAGTTCAAAGTTGCACCCCCGGGTCAAGTCATTCGGGTCTGCAAAAAATGGTCCCAAAATTTCAAACATTTTTTTTCAAGTAGCGGGAATCTTCTACTGGTTTCGATCGGTTCCTTCATGAGTGCATCCGATGCCAATTTGAACATTTCAATACTTTTGATTTGGATAATTTTTCGATGCCGATAATTCTGGTAAATATATCCTCGACCTAGATTTTCCAGGGATAAAATAACTTCAATTGCAGCCGTTTATCTACTTCACCCCGGGTGCTTCCTTCAATTTTTATGCTCTCAACATTCGCTCGGCGGCTTCCTTTGTCCCTCCATGCATGCAGTTAACGCCGCTACGTTTCTGCCTTTCCTTTCCGTTCTCATTGGCTGATCTTCTGTTGTTCAGACGTTGGATACGTGTTTTCCGGTAAAACATTCTCTATCAATAGATCACTCATGCTCGTTTCCTCCTTCGCTATCACCACCAGCTATGTTTTTTGGACCTTGTCCTCCCATTGTACCAATGGTTCCTGTGATGGGCCGTTCCAAAAAATTCTAGGCCGCGTTAGCTGGATTCAATTTGTGACAGCGCCATGTGGAAATATGCACGTGTCTTAATTTCTAGTGTAACGTTGATATTAAAAAAAGAAAGACAGTGGATATTAAAACGTGGATTAACCAGCCAGAATTCACTAGCTTAAAAATTATCAATGGGGGAATATCTAATTTATGCAAGATGAAAAATAAAGAAATCTGAACGCATATGTTAATCATTCCTCATATCAATTTTTTTTCACCTGACCATAATATCATGCATAAGTAGTACCAAAAAATGCAATTAGGACGGAAAAATCTTCTGATTTTCGTAACTCTTTTTGCCCGTGGGCTCTCTGAACGCGAAGAATAAACGCGGAGGATATTACGATCCAGTGTATGTTGATTATGTTTTTCACATTGATGAAGATGGAGCCCGGATCGAGGTGCTGGACTTTGAAAGTCGAGCAAGTGCAGTTTTGCGGCTGAAATTACGAGAAACAAATTTTAAACTGAGCACAAAGTAGAAACATACCCGATTTCGGTCTAGAAAGTCGAAACAGAGTTCGAGAAAGTCAAAATATAGGTCGAGAAAGTCAAAAAATAAGTCGATAAAGTCGAAACACGGGTCGAGAAAATTGAAGTACACCCATTTTTGGTCGAGAAAATTGAAACACGTCTATGCGGGGTCAAAAAAAAAAATTTTAAAAATTATTTGAAAATAATTTAAAAGAACTGCAATAAGTGGAAACAAATTCTACAAACAAAATCGATTATTTTGAAAATAAAAATGGATTTTAATTGATCATAATGGATCGGAGGTGGATAAAATAAGTTTAGAAAAATTGTTCTTATCTAAGCTGGGTCGAAGAAACAAATTTTTTAAAATTGTCGGTCGAGAAAGTCAAAACATATCCAATTTATGTCGAGAAAATCGAAACAAATCTATGCGGGATCGAACAACCAAAGTTTTAAAAAATGTCGGTCGAGAAAATTGAGAGAGTCGAAACATACCGAATTTTGGTAGAGAAAGTCGAGACATATCTGAACTGGGTCGAACACAATTGAACATTTTTCTTGTTGGTTCAAGAAACTTTGTCGAGAAAGTCGAAAAATAACGAAATTCGGCCGAGAAAGTTGAAACATTCCAAGTTTTGGTCGAGAAAGTCGAGACAAAATCCGAGCACCTCGAACCGGGGGAAGAGCCGCTTTAGTTTTTATTTGTGTAAATATTCCTCCATCCGCCCTTTGAGAAATAATTTTTTGTCTACCTTCACTGAAAAAAAATTATATTAGATTTGATATAAAATTATAACTTGACATATTTGTAGTTATCTTTTGTTAATGATAAACCTACTGAAAAAAGCTAACGGAATGGTAACGGAACGAGGTTTATATGAAACAGTTGTAACTATCCTTTGTTAATGATAAATCTACTTGAAAAAAGCTAACGTAGTAGTAACGGAACGACGTTTATTAACCAATTCTTGTAATTTATATCTTATGGCTAGCATACCTTCGCTGAATACAATTGCGTTGGGTGGTGTGGCCACTGGGAAGCAGAATGCGAAGGAGCATGCCACTGTGGTGGGGACCATGAGGAGCAGGGGGTTCACCCCAAGTGCCCCCGACAGACTGGACATGATCGGCTGCACTATGGACGCGGTGGAGGTGTTCGAAGTGAACTCGGTCAGGAAACCTGCAATATTAACTTAATTAGCTGCTAATTCAATTGACTTAAATATTGATAACTTGTTAGTTTTTAGTTTTGCCGTCTTTTTTTTAGTTTGTAATTTCCAATGTAATTTCCGGTATAAAACCTCGATTATTTTGCCCATAGCAATACACACAATCATATCCTTTGGTTATAGACAAGTTATAATCATTAAAAAGTTTTTATTCGAGATATTTTAATATTACTTTTTGTACCGAGTTATAATCATTCAAAAGATTTTATTCGAGATATTTTAATATTACTTTTTGTACCGAGTAATTTGGCAGTGATCAACCAGTTCAATTCTTGGTACTTTTATGATCCTTACCTACTACACACACGATAATGAGCAGTAAGAAGAACGGGGGAATGCCATCTAGATGTTTGAGCGCATTCATGACCACTGTGTCCAGTCCTGAGCTCTGAACTCCAGAGGCCATGGCGAACCCTCCCCCAATTAGGAACAGAACACTCCACGACATCTTTTTCTGGACTGTGTCCCTAAATTTTAAGAGAGTTCGATTATTGTTCCACAGCTGGACAACTGGTCGACTGGGTTAGGAAAGTTAAATTGTGATACTAAATGACTTAGCTGAACAAGATTTGAAGGGTTGAGTTTAACTGAAATTAACTGACTAAAAGGTAACTTAAAGAGATGATGCCCGGGTTGGCCAAAAAATGCAATCTTCATATATGGCTCCAATATAATATTTTCCAATATAATTTAGAAGTCATAGTAAAGCTTCAAAGATGTTACGAATAAGGGATTTTTGGTGACTGTTATCAGACTCTTAAAATATTTTGAAAAAGCTCAATCCAAATGGTATCTAAGTTATTTATTTGCCATGGCAAGCAGCTGTTCAACGCAATCTAAATAAACGTTCCGCAAGGCCAGAAACACGATGATCACCCACTGGACTCAATGAGATCAATTTTGAATTTTTGGCGGAATCTTTGATCGGCCCTTATCGTTTGCTGTTTTCCATGTGAGGTTGTACAATCACCACGAAGCATTTTACCGTTTCTGAAGAGGCAAGCACGAGAGGTTATTTGAGCCAATGGAAGTTTTGAAAAATTGACGGTAACGGATCATATTTTTAAATATATTTTAAGTAGCGGCCCTGTAAAATTAGTTCCTTTTCTTTGCTGAATTCGACTACCATTTGTAGTACTGTGAGGTCTGAACTCTTTTTATTGGTGTAAAGTTTTGTCTGTTTTTACGCACTTGTTGCAGTTGGTACTATGTACTTGTAATTTTTCTTTTATCTTCGCGTACCGGATGTTTCGAAGCTAAATTCACTGAGACAAATTAGCCAAGTTGCGCTTCGTGCAATCTTTCGAGCATGACGCTTTGAAGACATCTGATTAATTAATCAAAGTATGAGCATCCTAGACTACCGTATGGATTGCCGGATAGCACTTCAGCTAGTACTTCAGTTAGTAGTTTCTGGAATATTCTAATCATTCGTGATCTTTCCGTTGTCGTCCAAAAAATTAGTTTCAATCTCAGGTTTGTTTAAACTTAGTCTTGAACTTAGGTATGAGCACTCCTCAATTCAATCAAACATTGTATCAAGGACCGGTTTTCCTGGACCAAGGTCATCTTAGCGGTTTTCTTCTGATGACGCCAGGTCGAGCTGCGAAATCACCTGTTTGTCAATGCTTTTGAATTTTAAACCTTACAGTTTTGCTTATTACTCAGCTTTGAACATCTTATTGGAAACAGATCTAAACTAGAGTTTATTATAGGATATTATTCTGATATTTTATCTCTATAAAATATTGAATGCTAACCAATCATATTCCATCTAACTAACAACCCACTTATTTGTAAGTGCTGAAATTACTTGTAATTTCAGCACCAGAGAGATTTGAATTTAACTTAGAAATTAGTTGCCTCTCCAAGAGAACTTCAGCAATCGCAATAAGCCAGTATACTCTAGATCTATTGAGCCTAGCAGAGACTAGTTAAACACCCTGAGACTAGTAGATATAAGAGTAAGATTAAGATTGGTATTAGACAAGAAGTTGCACGAATCTATCCGGCCGAAAATAAGATAGCGCGACGAGCAGACGGTGTACTTTATCTGAAATTACTCTATGAGTTTACTAAATGACATATTAACTCATCTGGTGCGACCAAAAGTCTCAAACAAGACCTTAACTAACTTAGATTAGAAACATTAACCAGAACATTAGATTAGAATTAGACAAATACAACATTTAAAAAAATGTTATATGACAAAAATCTAGTAGAAATGTCTCTACGACTCAATAGATCAGATCCAATTTTCCGAACAATACGAGAAGTACTCGATTTTGGAAGAAGACCTCGGACAATAGACGACGTAAGATTAGGAAGAAATCTACCATTCGATTTCACGATTGTACGACAAAAACCAGATCAAACTTTTATATTTAGAATACTTTCAGCAGTAAATTTAGGTTTTCATTTATTGACATAAAATTTTGAAGAAACATCTTCAATAACCTTTCATGGCGCTAAACGTAATAATTATACAATAACGAACGATAAAAACAACACTAGTCGTTCCCCTTAAAAAATCTGCAGTAAATTAAAAACATCTTGAAAGAAAAAAATTTATTGAAAATGAGGGTACAAAAATTAGTTAGTAAAAAGCATAAATTGTTAATAATATAAATCATTCCTTCATCCCAGCTTCATCACCTAAAACATAACATCAAATCTCAAAAACTAACAAACATCAAAACTAAAAATTTAACCTTTTTAACTTAACCTTTATCGAAATATTATCAAGGCTTATCATTGTTTTCACTTGAGTTAAATTCATTTAAAACAGCAGATTATCAAGGCTTCCCTTGAATCTTTAAATTAAATTAAACTAAATCTAAAATTCTGATCATAAAGGCTTATCCTTGGATCAAATAGAACAATTTTGTTCTCTCTCTCCCATATTAAAAAGTGTCTAACGGCCTCAAACGTCGATTCACTATCCAACCCTTATTAAAGACCCAGAAATAACAGAAAGTTTTCAAATAGCTAACCATTCTAATTAGGATAAACAGTGAAGAACTTCGGTTACTCATCCTTCACTTGATCCCCTTCCACTTAAGTGTCTAACGGCCTCAAACGTCGATTCACTATCCAACCCTTATTAAAGACCCAGAAATAACAGAAAGTTTTCAAATAGCTAACCATTCTAATTAGGATAAACAGTGAAGAACTTCGGTTACTCATCCTTCACTTGATCCCCTTCCACTTAAATGACCCAGGCTAAAACACTTTAACTTAGTAAGTCATAAAATAGTATCTAATGAACTACTTGCGTTCTAATTATACCTGAACCTTGTGGATCAATAACTATTCTCAAACCCTTAATCACAAATCACAGCCCCTAAGTAAGATAAGGTAAGTCTATCTTAACTTAGAATTATTCACGAGAAATTAAATATCTTTTACACTTTTCTCTCCAACCCGACAAATACGTCCTAAGTTAAGCTAGCCACAAAAAATTGTAGGAACTAACAATTTAAGACACTAGAAATCACTAACCCCAATATTGCATCCATCATCATAAACCTTATGTCAAGAGACAATTTAGGAAACAACTGTATAATTAACGACAAGAAATACGACCTCGTAATCACACCACACACACAAACAAAAGGATACATAAGAACAAAAAGACATACGCTAAGAAAATTATTAACAAACAAAAACAAATTATTAGGAAACGATTTTCAAACGAAGTAACGCAATCTCAGAATCAGAAACATGCGCAATGCAAGAACTCCACAATTTAAAAGAATCAGTAAAAAAAAACATCAAATTGACGATTAAATATACTTTTCTGACTCAGAAACAACGTCACCAGCATCAATAAAAGGAAAACGTAGAATAAAAAAGTCATACACAAACAAACCAATACGTCTGTACAATTGAAATCAACCAATAAGACACCTTGAAAAATACACACTAACAGTGATACAACACAAAAATGATCCAAAATGAATAAAAACCTAGAAGATTCAACACTCCCATTTTTAATACATCCACAAGCTGAAGCTCGAGGACAGGTTCAATTTTGCCAAAATTTAATCATAAATTTATTCGAAAATTGAGATATTCCATGCGCAAATCAATTTCCCGATGTAAAAATAAAAGAACAACTTCCTGACCACTATCTTAAAGGCATATGTAGTCTCACATCACAAGATGGAGTCTACACAATAGAAATCAGTTCACCAAACGCATTTTATGACAAATATCTCATTCAAACTGATGACGTAGATATTGAATTTTCAAAAGTTTCTTCGGAATACATCAAAAATATACAACATCAAAACTCACAAAGAGCAAATTCAATACTCACAAACCATGAATTTTCTTTTATCTATAGCTATTTATCTACATTAGAATTGAAGGAACCTCAAGGCAATTCACCAACTCAAAAATCTCTACATACAACCGTACGCCAAAAAATACATATAATTTCTAAATTTTTGATTGCAATCAGTGAAAATCTAACTAGTAACGAAATAACACAACACGTTAAACAAGATTTACAACAAATCTTAGCATGGTTCATAATCGAATACTTTGTTTATAAAATTGATCTTATAACACTAGCAAAAAAAAATTTTAGACCACAAATACAGATGACGAAACCATATTAGCAGAACAAACAGATTATATTTGGGAACCTGAAGGGTTTCATGATTTATTTATTAATATACCAACAGATATATCAAGCCAAGCAATTAGCACAATCTCTATTCACAAAGATTATGTTAAAGTATACTCACTTACAATTGACGCAACACCTTTAAATCATAATCCATTCTTTCATGAAAGAGCAGGAAATAATAGTCTAAACTCTACTTTCATAGAACAAGACAAATTAAAAAGAACAAGAAAACTCACACAACAAAATATACAAACCTCATCACCTTTCGTAATTGAACAAATAATTGAAACAATAGCAACAACAGAAGGATAACAAAGTAATTCATCTATTGAACCCAATTTTAAAACTCCAAAACCAAAAAAACCCAACGTTTCAGCAAACAGTTATACAATCCACGGCAAAACCCTCGGTTGCTCAAAAGTATTCACAAATGGATAACCAAACGTTTCTACCAGTAACAAAACCATCATATAAACAAAAAATAAATTATCAAAAAATAATTTCGCAGAACATAATTATAAATATGTAAATAGATCAAAAACAACAAAACCTTCGAATATGAATAATCAAAACTACTCATATTCACAAAGTCAAAGTATACCACAACCATCCTCAAACTCAGTAAACTTTAATGATCAACCACGATCTTTACAAGATCAAAGTGAAAATTAGCCATTTTTTAACAAAATAAAAATAATACAAATAGATACCATAATAGAAATCAACCTCCTTATTAAACAGCTAGTTGTTTTCCATCAGATGATGAGGAAAATTTTGATCAAATTCTTCAACGATTTTAATTAAGCCAAAGACCTCGTTCTTACAGTATTG